GATATCTTCAGGATATCGATGAGAAGAAAGGAATTGCCAGGACACCGGAACCTGGACTGGATTAACGGATTTAAAAGGATAAGTAAATCGTTTTTTTTTTTTTTTTTTTCTCTATTATCTAAAATTAAAATGTCTATTTAGATATGGGATAAGCTGTCAACGTTTGTATAATGCCTTCCAGGCTTATGAACAGTGGTAAAAGAATATTCCATCAGGGTCATAACCCATCGAGCAAGACGATTCTGCGGGAGTTTGATCGCAAACAAGGATTGGAGAGCGGAATGATTGGTATATAGAAGGAATTGATTCCCATGGAGGTAAGTCTAAAAATATCCAACAACCTATACAACAGCTAGGCACTCCTTTTTGGTGACGGAATAATTCTTTTCGGCTGAAGTGAGGCTGCGACTCGCATAGGAAATTACCCTTTCTTGATAGGCGTTGACATTTTGGGTGAGGATGGCACCTAAGGCTTGATCCAAAGCGTCGGTAAAGAGGATGAAAGTTCGGAAAAAATCTGGGTAGGCAAGTACCGGGGCAGTTGTTAATTTTTCTTTCAAGGCTTCAAAAGCCTGCTGCTTGTAGTAGTCCACCTATAGTTAACACCTTTTTTTAAGAGCTGATTTAACGGCGCCGCCAGATTGGTGAAACCCTTAACAAATTTTCGATAGTAGGAGGCCAATCCCAAAAAGCCTCTAAGTTGCCTGATATTTCGGAGGACAGGAAAATTTTGGACAGCTCAATTTTTTTTGGGTCAGTAGCAATTCCGGCTTGACTGACTACGTGACCCAAGAACTTCAGCTCCCATTTGGCAAAATGGTATTTAGTGGGTTTCAACTTTAGGGCGGCGGAATTTATTCGAGGAAAGACTTCTTCCAGGTGAGTCAAATGCTCATCAAAATTCTTAGAATAGACGTTGATATCGTCTAAATAGATGACTACACAGGTGCCGATTAGGTGCTGGAAAATATAATCCATTAGTCGTTGGAACGTAGCAGGTGCATTGGCCAACCCGAAAGGCATAACATTAAATTGGAAGGTGCCAAAGGAAGTGGTAAAGGCAGTCTTGAGTCGATTAGACTCTTCAACTTCGACCTGCCAGTACCCACTGGCAAGGTCTAAAGAACTATACCAGCACGATCCAGATAGGGCATCCAAAAGATCATCGATACGAAGGAGGGGATAATTATCTTTAATGGTGACGGTGTTCAGTTTCCAATAATCAACACAGAATCTAGTACTCCCATCTTCTTTGGAGACTAGCATAACGGTGGAAGTCCAGGGACTTTGACAAGGGCGGATGGTGCCAGATGAAATCATTTGGCCGATTTCTTCCTGAATGGTCTTTTTTTTAGCGGAGGAGTGTAGATAAAGATATTGTTTGATCAGAAGGGCGTCACCAGTGTCGATCTGATGCTTTACGAAATTAGTTTGGCCTATTGGCCCTTTTTCCCAGATAAAAAGATCCAGATTATTTTCCAAGAATTGTTGAAGCCGGAAGTGTTGCCCTGATTCTAATTTCCCGATCTGGTAGGGATCCTGGCGATTTTTATAATAGTAATTAAAGAGATCACTAACAGGGGATTCAGCGGCGGGGCATCTGTGATACATCCATGGGGTTAAGCTTGACAATTTCTTCCCTAAGGTAAGCGATTTCTGCTTCGTCATAACAATATGCAACTTTAGAAGGTTTATTATTAATTTTTTTCCTTATCCCTATTTTTCGATTATCTTCATCAATAACGTCATCTGCGTCGGAGCCAAGATTATTCGCCTCTACTTCAGTGGGCTGAAATCTAGGTATGAATACCACTCATCGTTACTAAAACTATCTGAGTCAGGGTCATAATAAGTTAACGGGGGCAAGTTATTCAAATTAGAGGGAGGGACAAGGATTTTACTATGCCGACAATCCTCCAGCCGGATAGAAAAAGAGCAAGCATCTATAAAGGGCTGAACCGAAAAGATAGAAGATAAGGGGTCATGAGCGTTGAGTAGGGGAAAATGGGGCCGCTCGTATGTGATGCTGGCGTGTTTAATAGGGGATATTAGTGTCTTTATCATTAAGAGATAGAGGTAGGAGGGGCGAATTGGAATAAGGTACATAAATGAGAGAATTTAGAACCAGGGTATTGGGAGGACTAGGTACAAATAAGCAATTGGGGGTTTCGTTTTCATCTATTTTGGAGTAT